TCGATGTAACCATCGGAAGTGGACATGTGAACATAGGAACCAGCTGATAACGGACAACAGCGATTGGTAGCAACTGAACAGGTGGCGTGTGAATAAGCTGAGCACGTGGTATAAACTAAGGCAACTGAGCAGAAGATCAATCCATGTTTTTGTCAATGGGTGTGATACAACCCGGTTGCCTGATCCGTAGTGGGGAGTTGGCTTAGGGGACACCACTCCGAGCCTTTGGCTAGCTACCGTGCACGCAATACACCAGGGCGACTTCAGGAAACCACACCCATTTGGCATCTGTGCCTGTATGCTCAGTTCATAAGTCTATCGTTTGGCCGGTTACCAAACCTGAATCCAATCTTCCCCATGAAATCAACACAGTTGCTGAAGTACAATGTCTCACCGAAGTGAAGCAAGAGGCAGTGGCTTTATTTGCTGGCGAGTCACATCCTCCACATCGCATTGCTGTTAAACAGACATTTGTGGGTTTTCTAGGGAGAACGCTTGACATGTGAAAACCCATCATGTTCTGGAAAGTACAAGCTAAATGATGTCTGTGAGCATTAGCTGCTTCTTGGGTAGTTCGCGCTTACTTACAGACGGGGTTGGGAGTAGGGATGCCAAACTGTACTTTGTGAAGTTTGTTAGCATGCCTGTAAAGTGGTTTAGGATGGCGGTGGAACTTCTTCACCAAATCCTGTTTGTGGTTCAATTTATCTGCGCGTGCCAAATTGACACAGTGGCTTCGCTCATTTCCGAGAACGTTTCAGTTCCATTTGGATCAGACTAGTATGCTTTACAAAGTGAATCTATCATGGCCATTCGTTTCCACCTGCTGCTCCTCAGAAAGGAATTTGCTTTTTAAGCTAAGGATGTTAGTCTTTGATGTTTTTGTTACTAAAGTAAGGAACTGATTTACGTACATTTCCCAAGCGACACCGGAGGTTGTTCCGCCAGAAACAACCAATCAGTGGTCTTAATGAGGTCGGCTGCAAGGTTGTAATTTGTTCTTTTGCGGATCTCTTCGATTTTCAGCTTAGGGTGTTCAACGTAACAGATGTAGCGGAAAAGCAGTGTTGCAGGCTCACTGCGCCACGGGAGGCTACTCACTGACAATGTATCGAGCATAAGTTCCTCATTGGTGAATATGAGGTCTAAATTGTCGGGATCGTTCACAGTTCTGAATCTTGTAGGGAAGTAATGTGTTTTTGGAGTGCTAGGCCAGCGACTAATACTTGTAGCTAGGCTTTAAACCGCTCACCCAGTAAGGCAGGAGCATCTGGTGCGTACAAGTTGAAGTCCACTACTAGGAGAGCGTGAGAGTTAAGCTGAGCCAGAACGGTATTTTGTACAGAAGCTAGACGATTGTCCGTTTCAAACTTCCTTACGGCAGGACGGCATAGGAGGGCAACTAAACATGTAGCACCACGTTTTATTTGCAGGCGGCGCCAACGTGAATCCACGCTTGAAGCTCTAGGTCGTTATTGACTTGGAAAGGTAGACCACTGCAGCAGTACAAACTTAAGCCACCTCCCCTACTAGGTCGATCTTTACCTGGGACGGACAAAGCAGATAGAGCGGTCACCGCCTCCTTGATTCCATCATTCAGCCAAGTCTCAAATATACTTATCAGGTCTCTAGACCTTGAGGCTTGGCGACATTGAAGCCTGGATAATTTATTGAAGTGGCCATGAGCATTGGTGCACGTAGAGGAGAATAATTCGAACACTGGAAGTGTATCTGAAGGTGCGAATGACATGTCCGAGATTTTGCCGACGGTTGCGAGGTCTGAATCTGATCGTTTTTGGTAAATTGCTAACATTGAACTTAAGACGTTTCATTTTGACTAGTAGAACGGTCCCAGGACGAAGTTCCGGTTTTATTAAGTACTAGCAAAGTCGCTGTAGCCTCAATTTATTGTGTGCCGCAGTAGTATGCCTCACAACTATGACTTAGTAGAGTCACTGTCAGACTCCTGTGACTTTGCTCTCTCTGTCTTTCTCGATCATCTGGGGTCCGGTGTTGAAGGCTTTTATTCGTAGCCCTAAGTGAAGCTTCTTACACTACCTGCAACCGGTTACTAGTGCACTTTCCGCCATGCTTTTGACAGGAGCACAACTGTCTTTCCCTTGGATCCAACACCCTTCATTCTTTGATGATGTAGGTAATCTTCTGCTCGATTAAGCCATCACATTATCTAGTGAGAAGGCCCTATGGAGGTAGCGTCTGTTCTGCCACTCATGGGCTTGTATTTCACGACCATCAAAGGCTTAAAGCTGCGGTTCGTCTTGAATAAAGATCGAATTTGCGTCGTTATGCTGGTGGTCGTTATCATGCCCCTGCTTTCTTTGTTGACACTCGCTTCAAGAACCTAGGGGACATCTAAATTTTGCATGAGTAGGCCTGACGGCGGGTGGCTGGCTAAAGTGCCGCCTCATTTGCTGGTTGTGGCGCCACACGTAACAACCACGGCTTCCCGTAGTGGGTCGACTTTGGATGCTGTACAATGCGCACCATGCTAGCCGGTTTGTCTTGGATGCCCATTCGTAAACATGTGGAATCCCACTGTTTTCTGCTGTCCAACAGTTTGTCTTTTCTGAAGCTGACGTTTGATACAGTAACACTAGAACATACGATTGGCAGTGGATCGTAGGCTCGGCTTGAAGTGGCTAGTTTTTGAAGGAGTGCTGAACACGTGTGGGGCATTTGTAGCACCCTGTGTGATGCGTTAGATGTAGCAATAGATTCTGCTTCTGGTGCTTGGGCAGCGACAGCCGACGCGTATGTAGTCACACACACAGCGGTGTCCGGTGTAGTTAAGCGTGCTGGTATAACATGCTTCACAGAGTTGTTGTCTTACAATATCGACTGGGCCAGGATGCGAGCCGCCGTAGTAGGTGGAACAAGGTTGTTGGCCTGGTTTCGCATTGGAGTTGTACGTGCATCTAGCTTCACGGTTTTACCTTTACCACTAGTTCGGCCAAGATGTTCAGTGGCGAGGCACCGGTTGCCGAGCCGGAATTTGGTTGTATCCGACGGGTAGTATTTACTAAGCTTAGAGTCCACGACCATCGCCACTAGGTTATCGCACTTCCGCGCCAAACTAACTATGCATCTAACGAGTCCGACAGCCATACAATCAGTGCAGTACGAAAAAGAGCTTGTTTTCTTGTCCTTTATTTCTCCTGCATTTTAACGAGCACACTTGGTGTGCTAATATGTGCTGCATCCAGAATACAAACCCCCAGCTCGAGCCGTTTCCCCGCAACAGCAAATGCTATTCGCCTTGTTTTGCTACTCTTCGTTGTGCGTTTGACTGCTTCTCTTGTCACGTTCCCAGTACTATCTCAGCTCGCAGATGGAGTGGAGCATTCGTCTACGCCCACACACCCACACACTGATAAGTGCACACACACGTGCGCACGAAGTCTGGCGACTAATAATCTGCACTCGGAAGGCGAGCTGACGCTAAACTTAACGCACACTAATCACACGAAGTGTAAATAAAACATGTGTTCATCTCCGATCGATAGTAGATCCGACAACCCGCAGAACTAGGTGCTTTGTGGGTTTGGATATTGAATAAATGGCAGTGAACTGGTGGCTGCGTGTATGGTGCAGCAGTTAAACACGCTGCTGGATGAGCAAGCATTTAGGCTATTCCAACGGAAACTTAAAAATGAAGCAGTTTTGCGTGTGATTTTCTATAACAACTCCGTCCAAATTTCTGAAAGTGAATAAGATGTTGAAGCGTTAAGTTTATTCCGCCAGTTTAATTTGCACTTCATTTAACTGATAAATTTGGGTGGAATGAGTGTAATTTCGATGATGTGCAGTAAGATGATGATGGATAATCTGTGAAAGGGTCGCCATCTCTGATTTGGTTCGTTCGCAGGTGAGGGACTACTCGACAATGACCTGCAGTTAGTAGTGCTAAATGAAGTCTAGTTGTATTATTACGCTTGAGTAACCCACACCGACCTGCGGCTAGCGTTAAACCTGCCTTATTTTCTTCCCAGACACATGTAGTGCCTTACTTACTTCATGACTTGATGGCCTAGGTAGCTACTTTCCCGTCAGTGGTGCAGCGCCAACAGAGCACGAATTCTAAACTACCTACCGTCTTTGACCTCAAAAGCGTCGTGATAACAAAGACTTGTTGAGCATTTATCTCCGAACGAGGCCGGTGCTCACCCAAAAGAGACCAATCAATCTATGCGCACCATGGTCTTCAAACCACATGGGTGCACTATCTCCGAATACCACTAGTTCTACAGGAGGCGCTCCACAGATTTCTTAGCAATGAGAAGACGCATTGAATCAAGCAATTTTAGTGTGTGAACCGTGCATAGACTTACTAAAAAACAAGTATGACATGCCATAACACAATACAGCCAGCTCATCTCAGCTGCCTAAAATCGCTGCGGTGGTTGCCTTCAGACATGGGAGTGTGTCAAATTTAAAAAGGCACTAAAACCAACGATATTGACATCTCTCCATGTGCATGCGGTGTGCGGTTGTAATTCAAGTAGTAAACAGTCAACGACCGAGCCTAACTTGTTACTTACCTATCTAGCTCTAGTAATCAGGTGACTTACGTCAGCAAACCTAACCCAAATTGATATCTCTCAACTTTTATTTATCAGGGACTTAAACTGAGGAGACTTTTGTTGGGGTCCTGTGATATCATCTCTGCCATTCTCTCAACTGAAGTTTATGCCGATGATTTTCTGTTCACTATACTAAGAACCTTCCTTTCTTCAAGTCCACCCATCTCCGAAATGCGGACCTCCACTTATATTCTTTTGACTACTCCAAAAGAAACGACCTCATTTTAAATACCCATAATGGACCCAAGCCTTTTATCAAACAGAAGGCACTGAGAACATTTTGTTCGTTATAGGGATTAGATACTCAAAGCGAACTTCGCCGCTGCTTGTATTATCATTATACTGAGAAGCATTGGTGTTAATACTCGTGGATCAATTAATCATGTGCTATAATTTCAGGTCATGCTCAAGCGATCAACATCATATTTACGCCAGAGAGCCCTGGTGGTTATTTCACAGAGGAGCTCAGCTTAAAGCTGTACGATCAAGTAAGTGCCTTTTCTAACCTAAAATGTTTGTGTGTTGCTAGCTATGATTTCTGTGTTACGTCGGCTAAGCAGCTTGTGCTTTTCCAATCATCACTCAATCCTAGTGAAGCCGTACTAAAGGCTGCAATAAATACTAACAATCGCGTTGTCCATTGTGCATTATTCTTTGATTTGTAGAGGACAGAAGGGAAGTCCCATGTAAGCACCGTCGCTTCCAGATCAGCACGAGAAGAAACAGTGCCTTAGCGACCTAACGGTCCACAAGTGACTAGGAGAATCGCAGAGGAACCGTGCTGTCCAGACATCCTGTGCAGACAAGAATCCAAAAGCCGCTCAAAACTTTCCTCATTCTGTGCGCTGACTACGGTTTCTGGGAGGCTGTTTCAGCCGTTTACCACTCGAGTAGATATGACGACGGCGTAGCGCACTCCGAGCAGCCTCGGTTTTAATATTTTTCATGTGTGACGTCGTGTTCGGCCTTCTAAGTGGAGTTAAAAATCGCCGCTGTTCGTTTCCAAGTTCCCCTCTTAGTATGCGTCTGGTGGAGATGAGGTCTTCACAGCGGCCACGGTTGTTCAGTGAGAATATATTCATCTTGTGGTGCCGAAGAAGATAGTGGAAATCCTGCAGTCCGAAGAGAAAATTTGAACCTCGTCTCTGGACGCTTTCTATTACGGTACATTCTAGCTTTGAAAACGGAAACGTAGTCTGTAGACCGTACTCAAGAATAACTCGCACGTGAGAGGTGAATAGTAGTGGGAAGATGTTTGGTGTTATCTGAAGTAATGATCTTCTTATTGTACCCCAAGTCTTGTTAGCGGTGGTCACTCTCCTTAGTGTGTCCTGGGTGGTTTTTAGGTCCGATACCACTAATGCACCTAGGTCTTTCTCCCGGGCGGCATTCTTGAGGAGGAAACCACCAATATAGTAGGTGCCAGATGGATCAGACGCACCAATCGGGAGGACCCAACATTTGGCGTAGTTGACACGCAGACCACACTTGGTGAACCATTCATGTAGTAAATCTAGCTTGGTCTGTAGTTTATGAGCAGAAACGACGTCCGAGACCTCTGACCAATGCTTGAGGTCATCCGCATAAATCAGGTATTCGGTTTGAAGCGTTTCGGAAAGGTCGTTGATGAACAGCTTGAAAGTTCAGGTCCGATGGCAGATCCTTGCGGGATCCGGCTGGTCATAAGCATTTGCTGAGATAGTGTTTCATTCACACGCACCTGTAGGGTTCTCTTTCCCAAAAAGTCGGCCATCCACGGGTATAGGCGTCCTCTGACATCAATTTCTCAGGCCTTGTACAGCTAACGCCGATGTGGCAGCTTATTAAACGCCTTGCTGTAGTCAAAGAAGGCAACGTCTAGGCGTTTGTCTGCATCTATTGATCTTACCCATTTTTCCCTCAACACTAGTAGGTTGGTGGTGCAGGAGCATCCTTTGCTGTGTAGTGTAGGTGATCTCCAGGTCAGAACAGTGCTTCTATAGAGCGCTTTTGATGATCTTCATGACCTTGGAAATTATCTTGTCAGACAGATCAAGCCAAGAAGATTTCCACCTTTGTGCTTTGGCTGCACTGTCCTCAGTTTCCAGTCGGCGGGCAAACGTCCAGCTTCTAGAGAGAGCTGAAAAATCTGGTAGATTGGTGCGGCAATGTAATATGCAACTGTCTTGAGATAGAGGGAACACAAATTGTCAGGACCAGGTGACGAGTTAGGATCTAGCTAGAGCAACCTTTTCGCAGCTGGTTCTGCGTTGAATTCCATGTCCTCAAGATGGCTGAGATCCGAGGCATCGAGTCTGTTGAGTGGTGGGTCCTTCAGTGCGTAAACGGATGTGTAATGACGAGCCAGGCGATCTGCTTTCTCCCCGTCATCGTATGGTACGGAATCTGTTGTGCTGTTCGCAAGGTTACTATAAGCCACTCACATACGTTCTTAAACACGGCAGATATAAACACTCCGGAAAGAAATATTTACTATTGTGCTAGAAGTAAAATTGCTTCAAGTGCAACACTCAAAGTAGCTAGCGGCCTGTGCATTCACTGAAGTCGAAGACCTCGACGTTAGTTGCGTTAACGCGAAAAGCACGTTGGTACGTGTTCACTTATACCAGAAATTAACTTTTCAGCTCTCTAACCTAAACAACTGGTCCCTACGTTGCATGCGAATAAGCACCTATAAAGATCTTGTTTTAGAAAGCACGTCTGCCAAACGTATCTTGAGTGGTACTTGTTTTTCCAGTTTCTACGCTTCTGGCACATACCAAAGAACCTAAGCCTAGAAGAGTGATGAGTGGACATCGAATCTCGAACTGTCTTCGTCCACGGTATTTCCCAATCTCATGAGTAGAGGGGGAGTAATTCTGTGCTACTGCAACGACTTACAGTGTGAACTATGGCATGATAAGGAGATGCATGTCACAGACTCGCTATGGTACCGTTTGCGCTACAGATACAAAACACTTGCCTCATGTCGGTGGTTTATCGCTACCTTTACTGTTCACTCCATAGATGCATTCCCACCTAATATCGGCAGTGGAAAAATGATTTGAAAACGTCGGCTGAATTGAATGGTACTAAAGCGCTATAACGCGTCCTAGATTTCGACTCAGACGGGACAAACGAACATTCTTCAGATATAGTACCCCACTCGCGCGGAGTAGCCAATGGAATTCGGAACGTTGCGGGCTAATGTGACCTAGCCGCCAGACGTACACGCGCGTTGAGAGTGGAGACGAAAAACACGTAACCTAGCGCTATCGCACGGACATCCGAACAAGAAAACTGACTGGCACATGAGTTGTCACCCAGTGGTATTGTTCAGAGAAAAACGCAGTTTGTGTCAGTGTGGCTTGGTGCGGTAACTACCGGAGTATTCTGACAAGATTTCGCTAGGTTCACTGCAGCTTGCAGTGTAGATGCATCAATGTCCTTAGTGAAACTCAGTTGGTTCACTGTTGATAGGCATCAAAGACCTGAGGACGAATCGGTTGTTAGTTGCGCAGTCTAAGTTGCCGTATGATGGCTGTCTGTTTGTGGTGAGCCCGGCGAAATCTGCGCAAGATTGGTGGAGCTGTGTCAGCTCCGCAACAGAAAGTCTGCACGGTCTGGCTTTCACACCATCGTAAACAGCCACTTGCGCCCACGTAATTCATTTCACTGACCGGTAGTTACCAGGGGAGATAAGTGCGCAGAGAGAACCTATCGGAAAAGTTTTTAAGTGACTTTTGTTAACTGTGGCCTCATATAGCGCCCCCATAACCCCCCTAAAATTTTCTCATCTTAGGATCTCCAGGAATTTTCCATGGTCCCCAGGGGCCCATATTGCTTCCATTGAGAACGGCTGGGTTTCACTACTTCAGGAAGGCACTGCACCCTGGGTTCCCGAAAGTTTGGGTCAGCCATTGTGGGCGAGTCGAGGAATCTCTTCATCGCACACAATACGGTGGATGGCCTTCTATCGCCTAGAGGCAAGCGGCCGAATAGCGGTTGGTTCGCGTACTCCCTGGTCGCTCCATTCTAGCAACTATCTCATGCTTTGGAGGCTCACCAGAAAAACTAGTAAATTTGTACGAAAAATGTCTCTGAGCAGTAAAGCGTAGTCCCTAAGTAGGCTACCTAGTAAATGACTACAACTAGATTGTGAAAATAGTATGACGTAAGACTCGTATCTTAACAGGACGAACTATAAAGGCGGGTCATGAAATGGTACCAATGGGACAGTTAGCAATGCTACATTAATACTTGGGCCAAAAATATAAGTATCTGAGTGATCCAAAGAACCAGACAAAACGAAAGCTACAAAGGACGATTTCGGGAAATTAGGTAAAGGGCTCAGCCGAAACAATTTTTGGCTACAACGGAACCCTGCTCACAGTCAGGGACACAAATTGTGGGGTGCTACTCAGATTCTAGTCGCATGCATAACAAGCAGGAATACGGAGAACAAGAGAAAGACTGGACCTAACATGTATTGGTACTAGCTACAAGGAGTGTAGAGCAAATAAGAAAGAGCAGCAAGCAGTGTAACAGCGCGACTAACGGGGGACAGCAAGTGAACAGGACGTTCAATCCGTAAAAACACGGGAAATCGGGAATTACAAAATATTTAATGCCGAAAGATACTGTAAACAGAAATTTTTACGCTCACTACAAGACTAAAAACCACGAACGGTTGGTGAATTATATCCTTTCTAAGGGTGCAAAAGATTTCAAAGGTGCTGAGGCTATTGATTTATTTGATAGAAATCAGTAGAGAAGCGTCGTCCTTTCTTTACTTGCGGTAATCAGATTTAAGGGCCGTCAAAAGCGATCGGGGCGCTTTTGTGTCTTACGCGAACATGGCCAACCGTCACTGTGAGCGCTTCAGCCTTAGCGGAATCAGGAGCGACTAATTCAAGTGCCTAGTATTTGTTTGTGATCTTCCGTCTCCTCAAAACATTAAGTAAAACTCTAAAGTAAACTTGACGACAGCCATTGCTGAATAGGAAATTTTATTGAAACTGAAGCGCGACACTGACGTCATTAGCAGATAATCGGTGCCCGATTTCATTAAGATACTGGCCGTGACAAATGTGGTCCCAGCCAAGCGCATTAATCCTATTACCAGCGGCCCTTTCAACAACGCTCAAACTGACCGCTGGCATTGCGGTGACTGGCACTATGCCCGACTGTGCTCACTCAAAAGGTAACGTTGTCTGCAGTGTCACAAAGGAGGACACAGAGCGGATCACTGAAGCTCAATGGAGCAGTTCCGGTGACTCATCCTGGGTAGTTCAGAAAACTCGGACGGAAACCCAAATACGAGATAAATCCCGTAATGGTTACCTTCGCACAGACGTAAAACATCGCAGGCTATCTGTTAATGTACATAACAGTAACATTCCCATGCATATTCACTTGGGTACAGGATCTGACCTCTCTTTCGTTTCAAAAGACATTAAAGATGATCGATCATTACCTATAATTATGGGTGATAATCGATTAGAGAATAATTTTTTTAATCGCAGTGAGCTGGATACTTCCGGTGAACCCCTGAAAAAACCAGTGAACTCATGTTTTCGGTTTTCAATAACGTGCGATTATGTGCCTTTCAGATTTGCAAAATATATTTCTTTTCTTAACTGAATCGAAAAACTCTAACTTTTGGACGCCCCACTTAATTCTATGTGTAATCAGTTGTATGTTTTGGCTGTGATCGCTCAAGCTCGTTATGGGCGTATACGCTGCAAACAAGCCCACGTATTCCTGGATGACCATGGTTGCTGCAAGAAAACGATAGTAGTTTCCTACTCCCCAGAAGCAAAGCTTGTTTTCCGAACCAAACTTTCCGTAGCTTACGCGGCCTCATCGAGCGCTGACAAAGAAGAGAAGTGACTGCAACAGATGGACATTATGTACCTAGTGAACTATTCCTCACAGACTGCTCCTATGTTGGTAGTCACAAAGCACAACGCGAAAGTCCGAATTCAGCAGGTTTTTCCACGTATCTGAGTGCCGCTTCGGAAGATCACCAGTATCCGTTGCCTATGCAAGAGTATTTGTTTGCGACACAATACTAGTAAGTGTTTCGTTAGATTGGACCTATTGGATGCATAGTTTCAAGTGGCGGTCTCTGAGTATTCTCAGGAAGTGTTCATTATCAGTACTCATCCCGGTCTGTTCCGATCTATCAACCTACCAATGGAATAGAAACGACATTGCAGCAGTTCACTGACACCAAGTTACAGGACATTCCATCTGTTGCAGTAAATCTTGACGATATCATTATAATGGGTACGGATCCAGTGGATTTGGAAAATCGGATTAAAAGCCTGCATGATGGAATCCAGCATTATTGCTTTAGCTTGGGAGAAGAAAATTGTGTTTTGTACACGAATTCGTTGAGATGCTTGCGATTAATTCTCCATCAATATGGACGGAGCCCATACACAGCCAATACTGAAGTCCTCCAGAAAATTCCTGTGCCACATAATGTGGCTACTCCGTGATCCTTCTTGGAATTGGTTAGTCACTACAGTACACTGTCATAAATGCATGGGTTGCCACACCCACCTACAGTATTACTTCTCAGGAATTCTAAGTTGTGCTGGAGCACAGAATGCAACCGATTATTTGACACACTCGAAGGCATGCTATCAACAGTGTTGATGCTGAGCAATTACTATCCGGAATCGAACGTCTTTGTTGCGACGGATTCGGCTAACTAGGAATTTGGCACGGCCATCTCGCACCGCTTTCTTGACGGAACTGAGCAAAGAGTTCCCAAGCCGCACGGTCGTTGACGCCGGAGGAACATATCTACAGTCATATGGGAAAATAAGCCCTGGTTATCAGTTGCGCCAACAAGAAATTCCTTAAAATGCTGTATGGTAGTCAGTTGAATCTGGCCATGAATCACCAACCCCCGACTTACTACCTTCGGTTTAAAGAAGGCATATCTGTTTACTCAACAATCGTCTTCAGAAATGGGCCATAGTGCTTTGGGGATAAGATTTTGAAATAAAGTATCAGTCGACTAGAAACATTAGTCAGGATGACGCTCTATCACACCTTCTTGACAGAATAGTAGAACCAGAGGATATGGTAATAGGCAGTGCATTGATTGAGTCCGAAGTTTGCTACGTTGTTGCAGACGTAATCTATGCCATCCTGGAAACAACGCCTCTCATACGTTTCGCGACATCAGGTTACCCATTGTTGCAGCAAGTAGTTCACTATCACAACTCAAAGTGGATACAGAAGATCGAAGACATTGAACTGAAGCAGATCCATGGACGTCGCAGCTCCATGTCGAATGTTAATTGTCGTTCGCTCTTCGTAGAATTAGTGGTGGTTCCAAAGGAATTCCAACCTAGTGACCTGATGCAATATGGCACCGGGCAACCCGCAATAAGCCGGACGAAGGATTTGCCCAAAGGTTACATTTGGTGTCATCTTGATTTTCATAGTGAAAAAGTTGCTCGCTCTTGCTCCAAATGCGCAATTACATCGAAGTTGCAAACTAAGGTAGAGCTACGATATCCGTCAAGTTCTGAAAAAATCAAGATAAATGTAGGATCTATTAACAGAAAAACTCCATTATCTTGGTTGCCGCCTTCACCAAGTGGCACAATGTCTCACAGGGGTCGTCGACTACTGCTTCGGCACCCAGTACCGCACTTGGTCTATTTTTCATCTCGTGCATGTATACAGACATATTGGTGACTGTTAATGGAACTCTGTTCCTTTCGGTGACTTTCGTTGAATAGTGCAGAGAAAAAGATATAGTTCTCCGGCGGTCACCTCCATACTATCCACAGTCGAACGTCCTGGCAGAACGAATTGTGTGAATATTTCAAGGGAACATTGTTACAAGCAGAAGGGGAGTGACCGATGACGGAAATCCTGGTGGGTTCTCGCCTAAAGAATTATACCAACTCTGTTAGTGCCGCAAGGTAACTCTCCAGCTGAAGTGTTAATGCAATGAAAATTGCGATCCAAACATGCTAACCGAAACAGCTTAATTCAAAACTGCAAAATGAAACGTCACAGGTAATCGGGTTTTCTTCGAAGCTACTGGCACTGGCAAAGGACTACCGCAGTAACCAGATTACCTGGACAACAGGACTTATGATTGGCCGAACTGGGAATTTCATGTCCGACGTCGCCGTTATATGTCTGAGCTTTGGGTCCATCACGCTAATAAGTTGCAGCTCTATTACTTTCCGGATGCATCGTCAACGTGCAGCACATTACTGTTAAATTTGATGCTCGACTCACTCAGTATCAGTCAAGAGGCACGACAGACGAACAGGAAATTCCGTTTCTCATAACTTTACAGCAGTTACTACCAAGTAGTTAGACAAATCGGTACCGAACAACAGTAATTCCGATTCCAAGTATACCCCAAGCTGAAAATCTACGCTAGTAATTTAAAAAGGGGATCAGTTAGGGTAAACAGGCTTTAACGACTCGATCGAAGCTATTCTCATCGACCTTCCTCGCTGAAACTGATTGGTTAATCTTATATCGAGCGATACTCCATAGCCACAAGGACAGTTTTCGAGATTATCGGTGAGCAAGTTATATGAACTGAGTGGAACAGGAACTTTCACAGCCACTCGGCTTGCATCACGGATAGGTTGTTCGGCAAGACAGTCTGTTTTTAAAAAACTATCTAATGGATGTTGACCACAAATATTTGCTAATAGAGCGTCAAAGCAGTCTTCTGCTTTACAAGCCAAACACGATTCCACAAGGTCGTCAAAAACCTCAAAGGGTAAAATCATTGCTCGCTACCTCATATCTATAGTATTATCTTATTTACATTCGTTATGCTTCCCCGAAGCCGATAGTAAATAGTAACTTTAAGAACGGCATTTTGGCAACAACCCTCCTTGGGCTCGTGTCAATATGACCCTCACGGTAGCGCAGAGCTCTTGAATGCTTCTGCTGCAGGGATGCAACAAGGTAGTCGTTTCTCTAAACTGTAAACAGACAGCTGCTGGCTTTTACATATCAGGAACGAACCGACAAAAAGTCCGATCGAAATGCATTTGGTATCAGCATGAGAAAAATACTGAATTTACCCCAGGCAGGGTTATTAGTATTCGGGCTACTTTCTGAATTTCGTGTCTCTCATTTTTCTAGGTATATTTTGAGATACATTTGATCATCCTTTGCATATGTGTACCGGATAGTTTAGACTTGCATTTTACACTGGGTCAAAATAACCCTTCAGTTCGTAATCCACTTAAATAACACGCGTTTGTATCTTGAGGTTCCGATGTTCCAGTACGTTTCCTATAGTCAAATCCTCTTTTAATTTAGTACACCTACGTATGAGAACACTTACTAGTTAAGTGACTAAAGTTGGTCTATTGTAAAATAGGATGTTAAAATGTTGATACACGCAACATTTATGCTTCGCTTCCAGCACCAGAACGCTCAGTCGATTCGACTATGGGGGTACGGAATGTCACACTACATGTATGTACGCGTGGACGAGTGTGCGCAACAGATTGAAGTCGCTGTATCTGATCTCATGGGGTCCAACGCCTACTTGGGAATTTCCTTGCAACCTACCGGGGATGATCAAAGTAAGGAATACGTCTCCACTCATCACTTCCCAACCCAAAGCATTACACATGTGTCCGTGTTACGACGAATGTAGTGCACGTGTAGGCAGCGTTAGTTTGTCAAAAGGGGCCGTCACCCCTGTAAACAAAGTGACACGTTCTAAACAATAACATGTTCGGTTATTTATTACTATTACATGTGTGTACAACCGGAGTTGCTCCCACATTGGACAAGCCTGAAGTGATTAATATAGAGTCAAACTGCAACAACATCCGTGACATAAACCAAGATTGTGTGCCAGGGCCTCAAGGTTAGCATAGCACCTTAGACAAAATAATCGCATGTACACTGTTTTCCGTTCCATATAAAAGGTATGTAAAATGCATTTCTTTCGCTTCACAACAGTTTTTTTGTCTGCTTGTCGACTCAGCGAATGCTTATTTGCTACAGCTTCTAAATCCGGAAAGGAATGACAACGCTTGTAATTTAGATTGCATCCCTTCCCCAATTGTAATTCCGTTTGTTGACAGCAAGGTCTGGTTTACAACCCATTTCGAGCGAAACCACATATTTGAGTTAAAAAGTGACTGGCAACTTTGCCATCTGAGAAAACTCTGAAGAATAAATATTACCCTCTTGCACGAAATAATATTAGTTATCCATAATGACTCAACGCGTTAAGCATAGGTGTTCTCATGAAATCCTTCAAATTCGCTTTAACGATAGTAACTAAGTAATCGTTACTAAACTTTAGAGCAATCGGGCAGCTTCTAATTTCGTTAGGTAAGGCATATTCGGCTGTACTGATTTGGACATCAAATGTCAAGCTCTATTTTCGAGAAAAAGACTGTCATTAAATTGTGGGAGTTGCAAGCAATAGTCCATTCTTAACTTTTCCTAACAGCTAGTTTCGTCCCTACTTTTTGTACACCATCAAGGAAAATACTGGTTGAACAATATCGTCTGTAGGTTTTAGCAATTATTACATTTACATATAAAGACGGCGGTTAGTGATTTCGTCTTAGAGATGGAGTAACAATGGAACATTTGTGCGTACTATGATTGAATACACATGTTTGACAGGTTCTGCACCTTGAGTGATCATAGTAAATATTGGGATCAAAAAATAAGGTACCAGTGAGGTAAAGTGATACTGCTGGGTTCAAAATAAGTTAAGAATGACAATTTGTTAATTTCACCTACATCATTTTCCTGGGGGGTTTGGTGGATACGCCGTTTGTATCGTTTTTCGTCCCCATCTGCTAAAAACAGGTGGTTTCACGTATGCAGCTGTTTGTGTGTTGTCGAGTCATCCATTAGACAGTGCTAAGCTAGGCATGGAAATGATGGGTTGGAAGAGCGTCCCACTGCTAAGACATCCTCGGTATTCTGAACAACTGTAAAGTGTACTCACCTTAAGCTGATGGTTTCGGGTTTATGTTTTTGTTTGAGTTCAATACGATGGATGCAAGCATGGCTAGGATTTTCAAGAGCTGATAAGCCATTATGAGATCATCCAGCAGACGCCGATAAGAACACGAATCTAAACATTATGATGGAAGATGCATGACGCGCTACCGTTCACTAATGTCCTGATAGCAAGCGGGAATGAGCATTTAATGTGATTGTCAGTTGATCACAGTCCTTCATCAAGAGTATTTGAACTTCAACACATTTGTACTTCAGAAGTAACTGTAGACATTACACATCTTCTGTTTAACAAGGTCGGGGAAAGCGAAATCCCTAGTATACCAAAAATAGCTATCCCTTACTTAAAGTAAAACCCGGAATGGGAGGATTAAGTGCTGACAGCAGCGAGTTAAAACGACTCCCTACTAACTACTCAGGTGAGACTGCGTATGGCAAATAGATCGACGGCGATTGAACTATGCAGTGGCGCGCGTATAACGCCCATATACCGTCGGTGAAAACGCCACTACCTCCAAAAGTTTACCCGCACTTTTCACGTCAGTTTAAGTGTGGTTGCAAAGCAACCATTGCGGACATGGTAGAAATATAACTGTGGGCGCAGCCAGTTGAACATATGCCGAAGTGAATCGGAAATAAAGTGTTGCAGAATCAAATATCTAGTTTACTCACTCAGCGGCTGTTCACTGGCAGACACTGTATGGACCCTGCGCTTTGTTCCGTGTAATCTGCCCGTCGAATAAATGAAACAGCGGTCACCAAACAACTAGACGCCTTGCAAACATGGTTCTGCGGTGGCAGCAAGCCAGTGCATGAATTGATGTGTTTGTGTTCACGGTTCGGTGCATCTGCTCTTCGAATGTACTCGTCTTTCGCCAAGTTATACATCTGCATGGTCGGCAGTAAGGACTAGAATATACGATGAAAATGTAGGAAATTAATCGTGCTGCATTAATGCGTTAACAGTTTTTTCTTAAGGTCCCTTTCAAACTTCTCAATTTGCTGAAGAATCAGCCTACTTTACCTATACACATCCAAAAAGCTAACATACATAGATGATGGCGCCAATAAGCTCGTCTCAGCTCCTAGTGCGCCACCGCATCAAATCAACCCCCTTTTCCAAGTAGGCTGGGATGTCAACATCGGAGCCTCATTGGCTGATGTGTGTCTCACACACCTTCGTTCACGCAAGAAATTCCGCACCTTACCACTAACACCCCAATCTAAGTTGACTGAGGTTGGTTCAAACACATCAGGTGGGGTAACGCAGCAAATTGACGATACTTGCTGTAGCAAGAAAAGCGCGATTGTAAGAACCGTTGTGCAATACCAATGAGCAAATGTAGTTGCTTGTAATAAACGAACGGTGCACAAAATTGTGCCTCCGACCTGTAGGCCATCGAAGTTCTCAGTACACCAATCAGTTGTGGATAATGCTTCCTTCCATAACGCTTCATGTATACCGTGATCATGTTACATATCTGCCAGACGCGAAAGGAACTACTCTACGCAACATGGTACAGAAGGGGCTCACTAACTCATATACGCAATTCATATAGGATCATACATTTTGTCACATTCAGACTCAGATGCCATTGGAACGACAGGAAAATCCTTCGGGTATTCCTTCTTGAATCATCTCATTTTCAGTTGGAAACCGATCCGTTACAGGTACCTCAATAGCGGTGGACGCTGGTGAAAGCTCTGCACTTTGTGAAAGTGCAGAGCCGGTAACATGCTAGAGTTGTCTGCGTCTAACTCTGGTATATAAATGCCTCTTTGTTTGAGTTCCGATAATACAGCATCATCATTTGTCAGGGCTTATCGCTCCGCTGCGGCCAGCCTCCGCCAATGTCGCAATGTACTTATAATGCACTTACTTAAGGGACCTACTCTGGATCTAAGCTACATACTAGCTAATAATTCCGAAATATTGAGAGAAATGATCACAGTTCTCGTCCCCGTCATTAGATAAACCAAATCAAAGAATTAATAGTATGTCCCAAAGAGCTTTTAAAGTTACTATCGAGCAAGTGTTTACGCAAATCAACAGACCCATAGGTAACTAGCGATCGTTAAAGCAGGGATAAAAGCTTTCAGGACCGCAGCACACTCGACACGTATGCATTGGAAAAATCGGTTTACAGTAAGTTTTACTTTGGCAGTCAGTTGACGAAGTAATAGGATATCACCTGTTTGCTTGATGTTCACAGGTCCTTCGATTTCATATCTCACTGTCCGTGCACCAAGACAGCTGGAGGCGGCTAACGAATTTAGTGCTGAGAGACCAAATCATCCAGACGGCTACAAAATTGAGCGATCGTTAATTGTCGGGTGTGTACGTTCGTCTGGAAGACTGTCCAGAAAGGTAAGTAGCACGCACAGTTGCACACCTGCAACAGATATATATATATATATATATATATATATATATATATAACTGTTAAGCTTACCTCCAGTCCCAACCATTGCATGTTTTATTACTATTGTTTTTGTGAGATTAAATGTTTTTCCATTCAGTTCGTGGTACTTCACACAAATGTGTGGACACATACATGAGAGTACGTAGGTTTCGCACTGCCATTGTGCAGTAGACAAAATCTAGGCTGACGAAGCATATGGCGTGCTTCGTCTTCTCCGTCGGGCTAAACTGGACTGAGTGTCCGTCCGTCGGACGTGCGCTTGACAAATTAAGTCTCCCGTGTGATATGCAATGTCTGGCTGCGCTTGTTGGGAATGTTGACAAAGTGACTGCCGGTCTAGTTCCCTCCACGTCGATTATACTGCCTCCATGAGGACGTGAATCGTTGCCGGGTTGACTGGGTGCACTGATCTCATGACGGTGCTTGGCTCAAAGTGTGGTTTCATCAAGTGTGGAGCGGGCTACGACCCAACCACCGCCTTGTGTATGACTGGTACACACGAGTTCCCAATCAGATAGGAAAGCTATTGCTGTGCGTATTGAAGAAATGTGATTCGACTTCGTTGATGAAAGATGGTTACTATCCACATGCCCTCCGGTCGTATTCACTCGGGTTTACACTGGATATGGTTGGTGTGGAAGGAGCTGTTTAGTGGTGCAGCGCAGTCCCCCTATGGTCCCTCTGTAGGCGCAGACGTCCTATGGAAGCCGCAGTGACAGGTAAATCCAGAACGAATACATTGCATTCGCGAATAAGCCATCTATTAGCCCCACCTGCAGCAATGCTTTGATGCACTAGAAAGAAGGTATTAATAGAGCAGCAGGACTGATGGACACCATCAGACACGTATTATTAAAATGTCTTCCACCGCCCATTTATTCCAAACAGAGCCTATCATCTCCAAACACTGGCTTATTCAGCATGCACCAAGGCACAGCGGGAGGAAACCGACTAATTTCTGTCCATTAAGTGCACCAGCAAGTGAACACGGCCACTCGGCCACTTATCTCTAATTGGGGATGCGAATTTTGGGTCGGCAGCTCTTGGCATGTAAACGGGCTTTTGGACCTCCAGGCATCATGACAAGTCAGAAACATTTCACTTAAGGTGGAATTTTATTTGCTGTCAGACTTGATAGATGCTGCTAGCTAACAGTTTACTGTAAGACACTTATCAGCAATTTCTACGATTCACTGTTGTCTTACTTCGTGTTTCAGATGGGGGAATTCGTCGTGGAAGACGTGGCCGAACTCAGCGCTCGCGGGTTTACTATAAACCCAACTAAGGTTTGTACCTCTTACCGATATAGTAAGCCCGTAAACAGAATAGAAGGAAGAGCCGTTCCAAGTTACAATGTTGATATTACTGGAACTGGTGGCTTATTAGGCTAACAGTTTCGTGTCCAGATATTATGATCGGTGTATATCGTAGAATAGTTTGCTTCAGTGGTAATAGCTAAAGTGACTTTTACAAGCTTGTTGGATATCTTTACCATTTCCGTCTCTGTGCGTACGATCTCGCTTCCTTTATTTCCGTCTAAATCTTCACCAAACTTGTTATATTTGGTCACGCATTGTTTTATCCTCATTTCTTGGACTATTGTTCATGGCGAAGCGGCACTTGAGGATTTATATGTGTTCGTGCAACTGCTGAGCGAACTTTGGAGAAACATATCAAACTGATTACTTTTTGATGTAGAAAGGTGTAGCTTCTGGAGAATGAAGGAGGATGATACAGTAGAATTCCTTGTTGGTAAGTAACCAGTGTTTTGCATATTGGCTAGAGATGAGAAATATCTCAGGTGTTGTGCCAAAATCCAACTCAATCAGACCGTCGTAAGAAATAACAACTCCATCAGGTTTGGGAGTGTGGTCGGAGGCGAGGCTGAGCAGTATGTGTAGGACAAAGAAATTTATCACCCAAATACGACTGAGGCCGTAACAACAAGTTGCTCCAACCTGACGTGTTCATCCTCTCTGGAACCTCGGGTAGGAATTTGGGAGGCATTTACCAATGCTAAATTTAAAATTAGAGTCTTCCTTTTTTCTGACCAAGTTATCCACTGACCGGCCCCCTTCTTTTTTAAATGAAACACCAAAGGCACAAACGGCACGTGTCGTGGGAGTCTAGGTATTAGCAAGACCAAGTATTCGGAGACTGGTACTGTACGGCCCACTAACTTGCTGCTCCACGAAAAAAACAGGGAAAAAGCTTATTGCTTTCGTGAAGTCACCAACAGGTATGAGACAAATATCCGTATTCTTGCACAACTGCTTGTGGTCCAGTGTCAGTTTGTAGTGGCTGCAATCTGTCTCACTGCATCCGCTGCGATGGATTGGTAGCTCCGTGCGTTGTCTGCCTTTGGTGGACAGGCCTGGAAGATGCAGCGTAATGGACAGTCTATAATTTGCGGAAGCTGCACGAAGAAGCAGACGAAACAAATGGCCCCTGTTTGGGGTCCTAAAGTTGCGGAGTGCAGCTGGTAAGAGACCTTAGAAGTCGCGTTTCAAGCATAACAACAGTGGCTGACCTGTATCTCAACGTTTTGTGGTGGAACTCTTCCACCTATAAGAAAATAAACAAAGAACCTCGAACACTATGGTTGGGAATAAAGATTAAAGTCGTCTTTTCTCATGCCTAATCCATTTCGGTTTTCCGATTCCGCCAATATTCGGACCGCTCAATATCTGCACAGCAACCTATATATATATATATATATATATATATATATATATATATATATATATATATATATATATATATATATAAATGTATATATATATATATATGTACGTTGAAAAGTAAGCGAACGTTTGAAGTAGGGAATCAACCGGCAGTAGTTGCGCGCTACCGCGTGTTTAGACAATAAGCTGCTATTTGCCGAATTTCTCCTTGATTCTTAGTTGTCCAGCTACAGTCAGTGAAATGAGCCCTTGCACAAGCTGTTGGTCAGATTATTGACAAGGTTACGATTAAAGAACTTGAAAAATTATGGCGTGTTTGTGAATTTTTACTACAAACTTGGTAAAACATGTACAATGAAATTTCAGTTGATCAGCCAAGCATACAGGCGGGACTACATGAATCGCACGTGATATTCTGAGTCGTTGAGGCGTTTCTAGCCGCCGTAGAATGTCGGTGGGTGAGGATTTCAAGTCTGGACGACAATTCACATCAACAGACGATGAGCATATCGATAGGGTTCGCGTGTGACCCGTGGAAATTGTCACCTAACTGTTCGAAAAGTTGCTGACAAAGTGGATATCACCTACGATCGTGCCATGCACTTTTGAGGGACAAACCTGTGGAGTGTCGTGTTAGTGCCGGCTTGGTTGGTGCATCCTGACAATGCGCCGGCTCACGAATCGCTCTTTATCCGCAATTTTGCAACAAAACACTAAATTCCCACTATGCTCGGTCCATCGTATTACTTGGCCCTAGCTCCAGTAGACTATTTCATTGTTCCTTTTCTTAAAATTATGCCGGAAGGAGGTCGTTTCCAAAACATAGAGGAGATTACGGACGATATAACACAAGACGTATCGGACATCACAAGTGCGTACCAGGAAACGTTTCAAAAGTGAAAGCAATCTTGAGAAACTCATAGTCTGTAGAAGGAACTACTTCGCGGGGATACTGTTTAAAAGGTTCTACCGTAATAAATCAAGAGGTTATAGCAAAATTTACCTTCCTTTTTGGATACGGTAAATATAGTTGGCGCCGTTTGACTTCGGATTAGCTTGCCACTGCGCCCCACATAGCACAACCGTGGAATACCTGCACCTACGGGGGAACCATGGGTGGCCCGCGCTGCACCTACCACAGCTCCAATGTAAACCCGAAAGAATAAGACCGGGAGGTATGTGGATGGGAGCCGCCTTCCATCAACGGGGCCGACCCACACTCCTTCGACATTCACAGCAGCAACGTTCTTGTCTGTGTAATTGGAGAATAATGCTTAACTGACGTACACAAGGGGTGGCTTGGCCGTATTCCGCTCCACACTGCATGGAACCACTCTTTGATCCTATCACGGTCATGAAGATGTGCACTGCTTCTCCCAAAGCAGTGACCATCTGCCTCCCTGAGCCGGTATAACCAAGGTATTGGCTTTTTGGCAGGTAGACAACTTGTCAACGTATACATCAAGCGCAGCCACACCGGGGATGTCAATCAACACCTGAAATACAAATAATTCACCACGCAAGTGCACTTACAGACCAGCTACAGCGATGATGTAGCCCAAGTGCTACGTCGACTGCATTATTGGCCTGGGTTAGTAATCAGAATTGATTAGAGAGCAGCATACCTTCCAGACCCCGCGCTGGTGATGATTATTAATCACTTGACTCGCTGAATCTTTGATATCGGCCCCATGTGCCCACGCTTGGGCAGCGGGGGCGCATGAGCTGCAGCACCACATTTATGCATCTTCGGCAAACCGAATAGCTGAGGTATGTTGGACCCTCTCGGTTTTAGGCTGTTATATACCGCATCATCAATTACGCGGTGTAAGAGGAGCAACTTTTGGTGTTCTGTGATGCGTCTTTCTACTTCGTTAACATTCTCTGTTATTGTAAGGAGTTTAAGTTTGCTAGCATCACTCAGTACATCTTGCATTTTCTGTGTGTATTCTTCCTTGCACATCATGACGGCTCCTGAGCCCTTGTCTGGCTTAAGTACTGTCACCCCTTTCGTCCTCAGCTCTCGTAGTGCACGAAGGTGACGGCTTGTAAGAAAACACTTCTCACGTACTGGCGTCATTGGGACCTCATAGGCAATATCAGTTAGTTTGTTCGTAAACCAGTTTGAGATATCTGGACTAAACGCCTCTAATCCTGCTAAGTGGTCGTGAAACTTTTCAAACTCTGCCTCTATGAACCGCTTTTCATCCGCACTGTGTGCAAACAACGCACAGTCGTCAGCAAACAGCAACCTACGGATAGTTGTCTCACAGACTAGAGTTCTCGCACAGAAACGACGGATGTTCAGCAGCCCACCAACAATACGGTGCTCCTCACGAACCCCGTAAGCACAAGCCGCATCAAAACACAAGACATCATTGCGTAAAGATATAGAGTAAACAGGGCAGGAGCTAAGACACAGTCTTGCTTCACACCAGAGACAACTACAAAGTCATCCGAGGTCTCTCCACTCAGCTGTACCGTCGCCCGCATACTAGTGTGCAGGCATTCAATTCAACTTGTAAAATTAAGCGTCAACCAAACTTACCCAACACCAGCCACAATGTCTAGAGTGGTTCACCGTATCAAATGCCTTGGTGAAAACAACAAAAAGCAAGTACAACAACTGGACATTATACATGAATATATACATATATATACCATTTCACTTTTAACTAATTGTTTTCCAAAAATCAAACTGGCCGCAGTAGATTATAAGCAGAAAAGTGTCACTAATGAGTAGTGGAGATTTGGGTGTGATTGTGATGTTGTTCATCACAGTCGTCTCTCAGTGGGGCAGGTTGCCACATATCTCTAGAAGCACCAGTCGGCCGTTTCGACCTTTTGATTCTCGTCAGTGATGCACGTTTTTCGAAACGCTCCTGGGTTTCTTCCCCATGACTTCCGGATGCCAGCAGTGCTTGGCTAATCATTGGTGGTCCAATCACAGCCTATGATGATGGTAAGGTTAACAGAAGGCACACAAATACAACTAATCTGGGTGTCCAATTTGAGGGCCTTTGCATCGCTCAGCAAATGTGACAACTATGTTACGCCACGGATATGACGAAATCAGACCTGGCGCACGGAGCATCAAGTCAAGTCCAGTCAACAATGCGCTTTATGCACCCATGAAGATTAAATATTCGGCTACAACACACATGCTGAGCGCAATAAGAGTTAAATAAAAGGTTACAAATGTATATGGTGCGCAGCGGTGATCTCATCACTTCAGTCCGGCAATAAGTTCTTGCTTGGCTACATACTGATCCCTCAGAAAACGTGACAAACAGGGAAAAACTGACGTACCGTAAGCCCGTGTTCGAACCTACATGGCTTTGTATGTTTGTCTGATCGAACACGTCGAGTTACATTCGGACAATGCACAATGGAGCGTGAGACTGGCGTCAGTGAGTATTTTGGACGCCAGTTTTTCGCAATGCCGTCCATAAACACTAGTACGGAAATTCCGCTGCATCGAGCAAAATGCTTCAGCGACCGGTTGGTCGCTTCGAATTGCCTGTTTAAGAGTCCAAGAAATATAACAGGTGAGCAATACGTCCAGTGCGGTATTGCGCAAGCAGTGACTAGCCGTAAAATCG